CCGTCGCAAAAAAAAAAAAGAGAAAGCTAGAGAATGATGAATGAAACAAATGACCTTAACATTTCTTATATAGATTTGATTAGCTAGGACTCTCTAAATAACGTTATATTTTTTTAAAAAAAGATTTCATAGATTAAACACTAACTAATTTAAAACAGAAAATCTAATCAGAATTAAGACTAAAATCACGTCAAATATATTGTTATATTTAAATTCAAAAACATCTTTCTCTACCAAGATTTTCTCAATTTAAAATATTTGAATTTTATCATTGATTATTATTTAGATTTATTGTTGATGAAACTATTATAAGAATATGCAAATATGAATCACATTTAAATTTGAATTGTTACGTTCAAATAAAATCCAATGAAGTAATGTGAGTTTCATTGGTTTCTTGAATGGTTATGTATAAACAGCTGGATTATTAGTTTAGAAAATATCTTCTGTTTAGTTTGTTAAATCGTAGGAATAAGTTCATTTAGTAAGAGAATTACTATACAACTAGATGATTATCCCGCACCGTGTGCGAGTATGAATTTTTTTATGAAACTTAATCAGTTTTCTTAGCTAATAATTTTATTTTACCACGTGTAAAAATATAAATATATATTATTGCTTGATTTAAATTTTTAATTCATATAGAAAATTAATGTGTAAGATAATATTCTTAATATTTTGAATGTTATTTTAAAAATGAGAGTTTTACATTTTTTCGATTTTATATTAGTGTTGAAATAAAACATAAACGACAGAAAATAATACGTAAAATTTTGAAATTAGTGAAAAAATATTTTAACAAATTGAAAACATTAGTTAGGGCAAAAAACAAAAAAGTCATACAACTACAATCCTCAAGGAACAAAACTCAAAATCAAACAAAACATATTATGTATTCTTCTTTGTAGGAGATTCACTCTCCTCATGTGAATACATATAGAATTTGCAGACTTCACTAATGGTAATGTTATAATTCATTCATTTTTTTTTTGGTTCACCTAGTTAATCATTATTCTTTTAATA